CACTTTGTCTTCATTGCATTTATTGAATATCATGTCCTAAGCTTTGTCAAGAGATGATTTTCCTATTGACAGGCTTACCTGTGGAGAAGATGAACACCGTGTTGTTCCAGAGCCCACGGCTTTTCAAGGCTGCGGTGACATTTCCCACGGCTTCGTCCATAAGGGACACCATTCCTGCATAGTAATGCCTATTCTTATCTTGGATAAAGTCATATGGCTTCAGGTATTCCTCGGGGACTTGGAGGGGCTCGTGGACAGACTGGAGAGCAAGGTAGAGAAATAGAGGCTGGAAAGAGAGTTTGTGCCAATCAGTTAAGAGGGCATGGACATATTAAATATACATAGAGAGAAGTCCAGATTTATCAGTTAATAAAAGTAATATTAAGACAACCTACAGAATGGGTTGAAAATATTTGTAAATCATATATCTGATAAGGGACTTGTATCTGGAATATATAAAGAACTCACAACTCAATAATAAAAGACAATTAACCCAAATACAAAATGAGCAAAGAATGTGAAAAGACATTTCTCCAAAGAAGATATACAAAGGGCCAATAAGCACATGAAATGATGATTAATATCTTATTCATTAAGGAAATTCAAATGAAAACCACTCTGAGATACCACTTCACACCCACTAGGATGGTTATAATACATAAACTGCAAAATAAGTGTTGGTGAGGATGCAGATAAACTGAAACCTTCATTCCTTGCTGGTGGGAATATAAAATGGTGCAGCCAGATCAAATAACAATTTGGCAGTTCCAAAAACTGTTAAGCATAGAGTTATGATATAACCCAGCATTTCCATTCCTAGAGAATTGAAAGCATATATCCACACAAAAACTTGTATATCAATGTTCACGGTCGCATTATTCATAATAGCCCCAAAGTGGAAACAACCCAAATGTCCAACAACTGATGAATGGATAAACAAAAAGGTGGTATATTTTCAGCAATATACAGCAGAAGGAATATTATCCAGCCACAAAAAGGAATGAGTGTTGATACATGATATAACATAGATGAACCCTGAAAACGTTATGTTAAGTGAAAGAAGCCAATCACAAAAGACCACATTTTGTATGATACCATTTATATGAAATGTCCAGAAGAGGCAAATCATGGAGACAGAAAGTAGATTGGTGGTTGCCTGGAGTTGGGGAGAAGAATGGTGAGTGACTGCTAATAGGTATAGGTTTCTTCTGGGGATGATGAAAATGTTTTAAATTTAGATTGTGGTGATGGTTGCACAACTCTGTAAATTTACCATTGAACTGTATATTTTAAATGAGTGAACTTTATGGTATGTGGATTATGTCTCAATAAAGATGTTAAAAAAATGTAACAAAAGACACAAGATAAAAAATTAAAAATAAAAGCTTCAGTTCTAAAATGGCCTACAAGGCTCTGATCCAAACAAATAATATCAATCACACCAACTATATATT